CACCAAGCGTTAGAGTTGGCATTCTCACCAAGCCTTCTGACCGCTGTGATGTTGGCAAGATTGTTGCTGATGCTGCATTGCCGATCTGGAATATCTCCACCTTTGACAAGCATCTCCCATGGCATGTTACGCATCTGTTTTCAGGTGCTTATGAAGATTGGTTGAGAGCTAGAAGCAAGCCAGGGGCAATCCTTTGCCTCGCATGTCTCTGTGGATTGGTCTTGAGATGTGATGAAAACCTGGAGCTACAGCCACAGGGCTCAGGTGATTTCACCACCTATCCTGGCTACCTTTCGGGCTCAAGAGATTTGCATTAGCATGCTTGCGGATGTGGCGGACAAGACATTCCCCAATTTTCGCAGGTTCCTCATGTTTTGCAATACCTTGCAATGGAGGTTGGGTGACAGACTTGGCGGTTCTGAGTTTGAGCTCGCAGTCTATGCCTTTGTGCAAGGATGGCGATTCCAACTGCCTGATAGTATGCTCAGTACGGGCTTCCACTTGCAACATTCTTGCCAGCCTGTCTTGCTGCAAACAGAAGCAGTTGGTCGTGGTCCCCTTGTGGTTGGACGAATGAAACCTGCGCAACGGCAAGACTTACCCAAAGGGTGCGATTTTAGGTGCAGAAGCTTTTCTGGCCAACATGACACTTGAAACGCTGTGTCGGGCTTTTGAAAAAGGGGCAAAAGAAACTCCGATGTCATGGAACATGCCTTTTGACAACTTGTTGTAGCGATTGTGGTCATTTGACCGTCAACGCGGAATGCTTGACGGTTGCCCTGGACCTTGTCGTGCCGGCTTGAGAGTAGAAAAGGAAGCTCCCCCCGCCACCCTAAGCTATCCTGAGTCCGAGCTAGGAGCAAACTTCTCATAGCGAACTGGTCGCCCTTACGTACTTAAGTAGGCGCCTACTTAATCAAGCAAGGAGGTAGGGCCAAGCGGGCCAAAGAAAAAGAATCGTTTAATTCTTTTCCGCTTCTCTCTTTCAGTCCTTGAGACCTTTCACTTTGCATTCTCTTCCTTTCTGCTTCCTTTTGGGTTCTTGGCAGTCTACGACTTGGACTGAGTGAAAGCACAACCGTAGACCGAGCTCTTGGACTCCTTCCGAACGCCGAAAGCACATGTTTTGACTCTTGCGCCAATGTCCAGAAGGTCCAGCAGCTCCGATTCGAGAGTGGCAAATCCCTGTTGTTCACATTCCTCGGAAAAAGCGGCTCTGTCCCTCGAAGAACCAAGGTTTGAAGCTGCTGTTTCTTCATTTTGTGTTTCTTTCACCTTTCTTTCACATTTTGTGGTTGGAGGCCAAAAAGAGTGAAAAGCTAAGGCAAGGTGTAACGAACGGAACAAAGGCTGTGCCAGGGGCAAATGCAGGGCTTGTCCAGCCTTCCGGAGCGGTGACCAAGATGGGCACCATCTTTGTTCGTTTTTTTGGGGGAGGCAGAACGTGAAGAGCGAGGTAGTAGCTAGGTAGCTAGTAGGGAGAGGCAGCTAGTACTTAGGACGCAGGATAGCTCACGCTCGCACCCTAGATTGTCAGGAAAACTTCACCTGGCCATCGCCAGTAGATTGGAGGCCATCGCTACTAGGTTGGAGGCCATCTCTATTAGGTTTTGCCGTTCTCGTCTTTGAAGACCAAGTTGCTGCGAGCACTGATGCCCAAGCATCTGAGTCACATCGCACACCTCACAATTTGTGCTGGAGCAACACGGTATTCTACGAGAAACAAATCCAACGGCCGATCATAGTGCGCATTAGGAAGGCGAATGTTCCTAATAGCTTCTTGTTCCTAGTAGTATGCCCACGAGCCCCTAGTAGCGTCCTTGCTCCTAGTAGCGATGCCCTTTGCTCCTAGTAGCGTCCTTACGTCCAAAACAACGCAGTGTTTGAACAGAACTTCACCTTTAGCAAGTGGAAATAGACATGCATTCTTTTAGGTCCTTTTAGGCCCAAATGACAAATGCGTTCTCTTGAAGAATGGCAAGGAATGCGTTCCTTTCCTTCGGACAAGCAAGGGAAAGGAATGCTGACATTGAAAATATTAGGTTGGAGGCCATCGCTAGTAGGTTTGGAGGCCATTGGAGGCCATCGCTATTAAGTTGAAGGCCATCGCTACTAGGTTGGAGGCCATCGCGATTAGGTTGGAGGCCATCGGCCATCGCTATTAGGGGGGGAGCGGCCTGGAAAGCAAATACATTTCCTGCAGATTTTGCTTATCTTCAGCTTGGATCTGAAATGCTGTCGGCACCCCTGACCGACATGGTAACAAACAACTGGTAGCTCTCTCTCCGTTTGTTGTTCCTTTTCTTGCCTTTTTCTCTTCGCTTCTTTTCACAAAATAATGCTTCTTCCTTTTTGTCTTTCCTTCTTGCTTTCTTTAGACCTTTACACCATTTCTTTTCTCCCGCCAAACAAAACTCCCACTGGGCCTCTTTGGTGGAAGTGCAGCAGCTGCTGCAATGCAGTTCGCCACTGCCGGGTCGTCGTATGTGCTGAGATCATGGTGGCGACTGCGATGGCATTGGCCTCAGACTATTCTTCAAGAGGTCTTCTGTTTTCCTTTTCGCTCTTTTTTCGTTCTTATTGTCCTCCATTCTCTGTTTGAAATTTTTCTTTAAGCAACATGACTTTCATCTTTTTCCCGTGAACATGGACAGGGTCAACGAGCTTTTGCGACGCTCCACCCTGCCATTCCTGTCCTGATGCCCGTGCTGCAGCGCTTTCTCCAAGAGCTGCGCAGCTCGCAGCCAAATGGAGCCTGAAGAAACTCTTCAACTCGGCAAAGAAAAAAGCGGAAAGCTTTGGAACACTTGACGTCGATTGAAGTTGAACACTCGATTGGTTTCTGAACTCAATGAAGACCTCAGGGGCAAGCTTTCCATGTTTGTTGGACCCTGTCTGCTGTCGAGGCCTAAACGCTTGAAGAGGCCGCTGTGTTGAACGGAATCGGTTCTCGGAATGCCTATTTAAAACCCAAACTTCAGATTTCTGATTTTAGCATCTCCAAATCGCATTTTGCGGCAAACAATAAGAAGTTCGAGAGGACATAATCAAGTCAAGAATGTGATCAAAAGAATTTTTCTATGCACAACAACACGCCTTTCTCACAAGCGGAGATAGCTGCACCAAAGCTCACGATGGAGGTTGTTTGGGCCTGTCATGACCCATGAGAATCGAACGAGGTTGCCGTTTAAACATAAGGGATTCCCCGTCCAAATGCTGGAACTGAGTGTCGCTACTAGTAGCAAGGACGCTATTAGTAGCTCCTGGCATTACTAGTAACAAGGGCATTGCTACTAGTAACAAGATAATGGTGCCAAAGCTCCAGGAAGCGCTGATAACTTGGACAAGCTGGTTGAAATCTGGCTCAAGTTTCCCAAAAAATTCTAGGAACCAAATGAATAGCCCGAGGTGTCCTGCGTCCAGCTACTACTTAGTAAACTGTCCTGCGTAGCGTCCAGCCCTTACTTAATTGAATAGCCGCTTACTTAATTGAGCCAGAGCGGGCTAAAAAGAGACAATGGTCCTTTATTGGCCTGTGCCTGGACTAGCTTGTTTCCGGGATCTGTATATCGAACATGATTGCTTCAGACCTTTCTGGCTAAGCAACTTTATAGAGTTGAGGCTTTTCTGAAGCGAAAGCACTGGAAGGTTCTTCGAAGCTCCGAAGCTTTCAATCTTATGCGTCGCCAGTGCCTGGTATAGGAGTTCCAATGCAAGCAGCCAGGTGGCCGCTGCGATGGCGCCGTTGGCAAGTACCTTTCCAGCGTAGAATGTGTGATCGGGGTTTGCTTTTTGCTCTGATGCCTGCATTCTTGGCCTCTTTAACCTCTTTCCTACAACTCCATCACTTGATCGGATTTAAGATGTGCACCCCGAGAGCTCTGAGGGCCTGTTTCCTCTGGCCACCGGATCGCAGGGATCAGCTAAACTGTCCACCTTCTGACTTGATCTAACTTGCTTACTTGCTTCTTGCGAGAGGAATAAACAAGGAATGGAACAAGAAAGGAAAAACAAAAGAAACCATCTTTAAACAGGGAAAGAAACAACACATACGTAGCGCAAGACATACAAAGGAAGAAACAAAGACACATTTGCCCTTCTCTTTTTGCTACATTCTCTTCTCGCTCCTTCTTGCTCACATTGGCCCTTGCGACGTCGCTCCGCGGTCGCTCCGCGGTCGCTCCGCGGTCGCTCCGCGGTCGCTCCCTTGTTACCCACCCTGTGACGGCTGTCGGTGGAAATGAAGACGATCGATCTGCTGTCAGCTGCCAGCTGTGCACCTCTTGAGCTCTCGGTACTCAGCTTGAAACAGGCGCTCCCAGCAGACACAAGCGAAAAGCTTCGGAGTAAATCGGAGCTCGAAAGCCGAAAGCGCCCTTTCAACAATCAACACCTTGAGATAGATTCCTACTTTTTGAACAATAAGATGAAGTCAGACATGGGCAGTTTTCCGACTGATGTGCAAGCAACACACCGCTTTCAAGCTTCTCTGCAATGCCGATGGTAGCATCGTTCTTAGCATGCAGTAAAGGTCTCCGCCTAAAGCTGTGCCACTGAAGAGTCTTCAATGTCTTCAGCTGGTCAGGCGAAGCAGTTCAGTGTCATAAAGCCCGCAGAATGCCTTTCATCAAGTCCCAATCCTTTTTGGACTTGTTGCGCTTCCTTAAAGCTTTTCGGAGTTGGGCATTTCCTGAAGATCCGGCATTGTGCGTTTTGGAACCTGAAGAAACTGCTGCTTTCGTGAGCAGCCCCTTCAAGGCTTCGGAGCCCTGGAACAAGAACAAAGGTTGAGGCCAAGTCATACTGGTACGTACCAGTGGAGACGGTAAACCCCTCGTCCAGTCAGCAGTCAGTGGCTGGATTTGAAACTCTTCGGCCCATCGCCTTGAGACGCACTTCCCGTGGTCCCTTTCTCGGTGTGTGAGTGAGACCATGGGAAGCTTGGCAGAACTGCAATCAGATCACGAGACCAAATGACACCACCAATGAGTTGGACGATTCCGGCATCATCAAGTGTCTACTCCGCTCACACACCGAGCAACGAAGGAGGTCGCGGTAGCAGTCGCTCTCAGATGGACTTCCGCAGGGCGATGATGGTACTGGTGAGTGCCAAAGCCATTGATGCGGCCATGGCTGGCTGCTCCTGCAGAGTAGAGGAAAGCAGCCGCAGCAGTGAAGGAGGTCACTCAAATGTTTCTATCAGTACATGCTGCCTTCTATCGTCAGCGGAAAAACTTTCTTCCTTTCCTTTCTTCTTGGGCGAATCAAAATAGGAAAGGGGGTGCCTCCAGTGTTGCAAATCCTTCTTTCCCAGGTCTTTCCCCGCCAAACAGGTGCCTTTTTGACACTCGCTGTACAAAACCTTGATGGGTTGTGTCTCTACCGTAGTCTCTACCGTAGACTCTGCCGCTCTCTGCTCTGCTCTGCTGCTTTCTCCTCAATCCAGTGGATCACACTCTTGCTCGAGTTGGTCTTGATCAACTCCTGACACAACTCGGATTTCCAGGTCACATCCAGGTAGAACACGTTCCTTTTTTTTTTGTCCGCTCCCCCTCCTCCTTACATAATATAGTAGGCGCCTACTAAATCAAATAAGGAATTGAGGTAGCTAGTAGTAACTAGGTAGCTACTACCTAGGACGCAGGATAGCTTGCGCTAATGATTTGGTCTTCACTGCTCCATACTGTGTTTTCAGATGCTTTCCAGGTTGTCAGGTTTTTCAGGTTTCATCGAGGTCGTCATAAACTTGGAGCATCTTTCCCGACCTTGTTGGGAGCTGTGATCAGCTGGTCCTGGTGCAAAGGAAGCATAAGGAAATTGTCAAAAGCGACTTACTATCGATTTTGCTAGGATGGAGTCCATCGCTATTAGGTCGGAGGGCATGGCTATTAAGTTGGAGGTCCTCGATACTGGGTTGGAGGCCATCGCTAGTAGGTTGAAGGCAATCGCTACTAGGTTGGAGGCCATCGCTAGTAGGGTGGAGGCCATTGGAGGCCATTCCTATTAGGTTGGAGGCCAACAACATCCTCGCAGTCCTTGCAGCTCTCAGTGGTGTTGCGGCTGAACTCGGGGTCCGGCTCGAACGACCTCAAGTCGGCGGGTTGGGGCGGTCTCGGCACAATCCTCTTGGATTTGCTCCGTTCGTAGGGTCCTCTTGCTCCTAGTATGTTTCTTGGACTTCACAATTTCACACGTCATATTGAGAGACTTGTTCATGCCAACTCACTGCCTAAACTTGCCGAAAGGCATTTGTGTTGGTACGGATTCTTGACGCAGCATGGGCATTGGCATTGCATGGTCCACCCGTTCCATGATGCAAAGCCCTGGGCCCTCGAAGCTGGTTGGACGCTGCAAGCGCTTGTCTGCAGGGCCGCATAAGTAGAGGGAACCCTGAGGGCCGAATTTGAAGATGTAAGGAAGAGCTGGTGGAGGGCCTCGGGAAAAGCAACAAAAAAGGCACAGGCTGAACACGTGGCACATCAGGTACATGATACATCAGTTCTTTTCAATATTCTTTTCCCCAAGAGCCATGCGATGGGTCTTGCAAAACTAAAGGCGTCCTTGCTCCTAGTAGCTTCTTGCTCCTAGTAGTAAGGCCAGGAGCCCCTAGTAGCGTCCTTGCTCCTAGTAGCGATGCCGATGGGCCCAAAAACATGGCACGGACACGACCGCATCCCCTTCTTGGACTGAGATAGACCTCGTGAATCTTTTTGTGTCCTTTTGATGGGATGGGTCGAGCACAACGTGCCAGCTCTGAAAGTTCCAAGGCTCCTCCAAAATTCTCCAAAAACACTGGAGGACTGTTTCTGGCGTTTTTGCTTACTTCATCAGGTCCTCGGGCACTCCTCCTCTGTCCAAGCTGCAGCTACTACCTTTGGGCAACACTTCAATGTCGAGTTGGCAGGGCTCCACGGAGCAGTTCACGCGGAAGCGAGCATCCATCGTTTGTCCCAGCACAGTAATGTTCGCCTTGACGCAGTCCTCACCAGACGGACACTGGACCCATCAGGCTCTGCTAGGCATAGTTGTGGTTGGGAGCCTTTCTCGCTGGACAAACAGATTTCCTGTTACCTTGGCATATGCTTTTGTATCACTCAAAAAGTACGAGCTTCAAACAACCGCCGAAAAAAACTACTAGTAGCTAAAAACTACTAGTAACAAGGGCATCTCCAGCTTCGTGTTACTGGTGGTAATGTCCTAGCTCCTAGGGGTCTGCTTGGTGCTTTCGAAGAAGCTCTTCAAGTCCTGTTGGGGACTCAAGCACCGCCCAGTTTGGAACAGATCCCTCCATTGGCGGCGGATATAGTTTGCTATTAGGCGGAGGCCATCGCTATTAGAAACAAGGGTTATTTTGGAGAAATGAGCTGGAAGAGCTGGCCAATGACATGCTTGGCTTCCAATAGTGATGGCCTCCACCTAATAGCCAACTACATGTACCGCCATATATACATATACGCGCCGACCCCAGCCGATGGCGGGGGAGCGCGCCAGAGAACACTGCTCCATCCTGCCGCCAGAAAAGCAACGTTTGGATGTCAGCGAGCCGATCACCGAGCCGCTCTGAGGACAATTTTTGGGTCAGTTTCCGTTTGGAGTTAGACGGTGGAAAGGCGTGGCGGAGGAGATTGCCGGGATCAAAAGCCACACTTAGACTTGCACCTAGCAAGCTGGTAAAGACATGGTGTGATGGTCTGCGACAAGCATGTTGTAGCAACGTCGTCTCTACAGAGCCACTTCCTGTGGCATCCACTACTCATGCAAGCGTGTCATTTACAGGTGGTGAGCTGGTGCAATATGCCAGTGTCCGCTGTGGCGATGCATTGAAACACACCTGCGCGTAGCATTGCCGACGAACCGAAAAGTCGTCCCACAGGTCTGCGTGTAAGGGATGCGACACACTTAGGCAGAAGAACGTCGCAACTCCCCGTTGGCGGAGAGTGCCCTCAAAGGTCGGGACAGGCCCGTTAAGTGCCTGTCGTCGCCTCGTGCGTTTACCATCTGCGTGGAAGACCGCGTGCAACCTATGCCTGCGTGGTCGGCCTCGTGCATCTTGCGCCTGCTCGGAAGGCGTCGCATGGAGCTCCACAAAGTGCTACACCTGCCACGAAATCTGCACATGGAGCTCCACAAAGTGCTGTGCCTGCTACGAAATCTGCACATGGAGGTTCACAAAGTGTTGCGGCGTTGCGCCTGCCACGAAATCTGCACATGGAGGTTTACAAAGTGCTGCGCCTGCCACGAAATCTGCACATGGAGCTCCACAAAGTGCTGCGCCTGCCACGAAATCTGCGCATGGAGGTTCACAAAGTGTTGCGCCTGCCACGAAATCTGCACATGGAGGTTCACAAAGTGTTGCGCCTGCCACGAAATCTGCACATGGAGCTCGACAAAGTGCTGCACCCGCCACGAAATCTGCACATGGAGCTCCACAAAGTGCTGCGCCTGCTGCGAAATCTGCACATGGAGGTTCACAAAGTGCTGCACCTGCCACAAAATCTGCACATGGAGCTCCACAAAGTGCTGCACCTGCCACGAAATCTGCACATGGAGGTTCACAAAGTGTTGCGCCTGCCACGAAATCTGCACATGGAGGTTCACAAAGTGCTGCACCTGCCACGAAATCTGCAGATGGAGCTCCACAAAGTGCTGCACCTGCCACGAAATCTGCACATGGAGCTCCACAAAGTGCTGCGCCTGCTGCGAAATCTGCACATGGAGGTTCACAAAGTGCTGCACCTGCCTTCGCCTCTGGACACGTTGACCGAAACAAACGCCGTGTCCCGCATTGCTCTTCCTCCTCCGCTCCCTCCTCCGCCCCCTGCTCCTGCCCCTCCACCACCTCCTCCTCTTCCCTCCTGCTCCACTTGAGCCCCGTGCCCTGGCCCCGCCTCTGCGCCGACCTCTGCTTACGCACTCCTTCCCGAAATCGGCGGCACGGGGCGTAGCCCTTAAAAGAATAAACAAATACATATATATATATATATATACAATAATATATATATATATATGGAAAAACAACACGAAACCGCTTTGTAAAGCACAGACCGAGCTGTCCATGCTTTTAGCTTGAGCATCATTGTGGAACTGGATACGCTGGTCGTAGCCCCCCAATTCCTTGCTGGTTTTGCCTGGCGATGTTCAACTTGACATTCCAGAACTCTCTCAGATCACTTGACCTTACTTGGCCAACAAGGTATCTTGTGAATGTTCTCAAAAGGGTCATGACGACCGTCACAAGCTCATGAGTCTGTAAAGCTGATTAAGTGGAGATTCGTCAAAGCACAACAGCACTCACTCAAACTCCTCCCTCTTTGACCTCACGGTCCTTGCGCGATGCGGTGCACGCCTTCCCAAATCCCTGCGATGCGCGCGTCGAAGCCACAAGACAAGGGTGCAGCGTTGTCAGCGAAGGCACCCAAGTGTGACATCGTGTCCTTGGTCCAATCAAGAAGGGAAGACACCTACTTGCGATGGCCTCCAACCTAATTGCGATGGCCTCCGACCTAATAGCGAGTGCTTCTAATCTACGTGGAAAGGGAAGAACAGGGGTTGTGAAAGGAACAAAAACAAAGACGAATGTTTGAAAGAGCAATGATGAGAAGCTCATAAAGCATTTTTGCTACTAGTTGGAACAAAAACAATGTTTGTCTTGACATGCAAGATCGCATCAAGACAAGAATTCGATTTCTTTTCAACAAACGTATTCCGTCTTCCTTTGCAGCCAGCTGATCGAAGCCACAAAGGCGCACTGAAGAGTGACACACACACACACAAGAAAGCAAAGAAAGAAAGGTGTAACGAATAAAGCGTTCGTTCGTTCTTTATAGACAATTAATTAAGAACGAACAAAAATAAGACACGCAAGAAGGGACCGGAGGGGATGACGATTGAAGAGGGACCTGGGCTTTTCTTCGACTGATGGTGCCTGGGTTCCAAAATCTTAACATCCTGAGATCGTGGAGGCAGACTAGTAGCTTCTTGTTACTACTAGTAAGGCACTTGTTACTAGAAGCGATGCACTTGTTCCTAGTAGCGAACCTTGTTCCTAACACATTCGTAGAGTTGAGGAGATGACAGCACTGGACTTTCCCCATACCCTTCCTGCCGGCTGCCCGACTAAAACAAAAGACATAAGACACCAATTGCCTCCCTTGGGTAGCAACGTGTGGCAAGCTTCATCGGTGACCATGGAAGGTCCCCAGTACTGGCTACCCTCCTCACTCTCCTGTACTGAGCTGGCATGCAAGATGGCCTCAATGCAAACGGCTCAACAAAAGGTGGTTGAAATTGAAGTTCCAAGATTGGTTTGAAGCGTTTCAAGAGTCGCGAATTGCGGAAGAGACCCTTAAATTTAGCAAAAACTGAACCCGAACCCTTTACCTGCAAGGTCACACTGGAACGGTATCTTCCAGCTGGGCAAAGAGAAGGCGAAGTCGTCAACTTCAAACCCTTCGGCCTCCAACCCAATAAGATACATATCTGAAAGAAAGGTTTCTGGCTGCATCTGTGGATTGGAAACAAACTAGTGGTCTTCGAGGTCCTTGTGCCCATCAATTCTCTGAAACCAGAACCTAATCTTACACGTGCATATATATGTATATATATATATATGAATTCAATTCGCTACTGGGACAGCGCTATGTAGTGGCAGGGCATGTCATCCTGTGTTGAAGGTTGAAAGGATTGGACTGAGAACAGTTGCATTCTGGAGGTCTTCCACTGCTCCCCCGGCCCACACCTATTAGGACTATCACCTCAACAAGTTCAATGTGTCAAGACAACTCATCTGAATCCTGTTTACGATCTTCAGATTCCAAAGACCATCACTTGACACCAATGACCAATGACCAATAAGCAAAACTACCATCACCATTGAACTAGCACATGAGTACTCAGAACAGCTGCCAAAACACCTGCTCACTCACTACAGATTTGGACCTTTGCTTTGCATCTCTCCCCATCTCCTCATATCTCCTCATCACAAGAAGCTACTAGGCTCCTGGCCGTGCTACTAGGAGCAAGAAGCTACTAGGAGCAAAGGGCATCGCTATGAGAGACAAGGACGCTACGAACGGAGCATCATCTTCAATTCGCCTCATCGCTTCCTTCGCTTCCTTCGCTTTGCAGAGCCAAGGGGCACTGGCGCCGAGCTTGGTGAGGTCCCCCAAGTTGGCCACGATGGCCGAGCCGCTGTCACTGGAGATCTGGGTGGAGCCACCAGCGGATGTCCTCGCCTCCACCTCGAAGCGAGGAACCGAGAGGAGTGGGACGAGGACCAGTGAAGGTGGTATCGAGTGGAACTGGGGGGGAACATGGACAAATCGGCGGGATGGAATTGAGTTCTCTTGATCGATACTTTTCTGAACTCTTTAGAGGTCCTGACCGTCCTAGTCGTACGTCTACGTCCTACGTCATCAGCTCTGCGTTGGTTCCCCGTCGGTTCTCCGTCCGCCTTGAAATCCTCAAAGCCGGTCTGTGCCACGTCCATCTCTTTCGACTCATCCTGCCGGTTCTTCGGCTCTTCGCGACCCATAAATTAACGAAGGAGGGAACAAAGAAGAACGGTCTAAAGGAAATGAAAAATAATGGACATTTGACAAGTAAACGAAGAAGTACTGGACAACCTTGTGATGCTCAGGAGACCGAAGTTGGATTGATGGATCGATCCGAACACAATAAAAAACCACTTGACAGGGGTTGTGGATCGCCCCAAGACTTGCGACTTCAGACCCGCTCATTACAAGCACAGGCAAGCTGCAAGCTACTGCTACTGATACGGTTCACAATATCGATAGACCCTTTGTTTTCATTGAGGTGGCCATCGCTGGGTGGGACGTTTGTGTGTATCGTGCAGGCAGCCATTGTGCCAGTCTGCGAAGGGGCCAAAGGCTTGGATGAACACTGGACAGTCTGACTGATGTTTCTATTTTTTTTGGCGAGTGGAAGAGTTCTCCGGGATCAAGCACCAACCATGTGAAGAAACGATCCTGATGTTTTGGATGGTGGCTTACTTCTCCTGCACCTTCGATGACATATGCACTGGTCGTAGGAAAAGGTTGAGGGAATTTTGACTTCAAAAGGCTCGCTGGAAGGACTTCTAGAAATGGTATCTGGAATCCGTACTGGCTGGGTTGGCAGTTGGTACATATGTACACTCAGCTCGGCTGGGCATAAGCCATATCTGGATTTTGGTGAAACACCTGCCATGAACGAAACGGGGCCGCGGCTTTTGTTGGTGAATGTTTGGAGACTCTTTCTGCGCCTTGTCTGTACTCACTACGCGGGGGCTGGCAAACGGCCATTGGAGTGGCTCATGTGAGTGGACATTCATTCGGCCACGGGGGATTGGTTTGCCAGCGAAATTGAACTGATGTGTAGGGAAAACGGATTCATGCGTGACAAAAAAAATCAGTGGTGGGCCTTCCTGCCAACCACCATGGCATGCCCGAAACATCAAAACATCGAAACAATTGGCTAAGGGTTACTGCTTTCTAGACCTTTCTGCTTCGTCTTTTGTTTCTTATACATTATATATATATATTTATGATTATATACACGTTCCTTTTCCTTAGACAACTCCCGACTGACCCTCCGTCTCCTCCGGGGCCGTGGCGAATTGGATGGCCGCCACCAAGTGGCGCTCCTTGCATCGCTACTAGGAACCCGGGCATCGCTACTACGAGCAAGGACGCTACTAGGGGCTCCTGGCCTCGCTACTAGTAGCATTCTCACTACTAGTAACAAGAAGCGGTCTTTCAAGCTAGTAACAAAGCGCTTCGCTACCCGCTCCTTGCCGTGGCTCACCGCGGAGCGCGGCACCACGGAGAGGTGCAACGTGGCCGAGAGCCGCGACTGGGACGTCGAGAGCATCTTGCCTTGGGACGTCGTTTTGGGTCGAAACACGAAACATTTTTTTTGTTACTACTAGTAAGGCACTTGTTACTACTAGCGAGGCACTTGTTACTACTAGTAACATAATAGGGGGGGAGAGTAGGCCGAGAAGGGCTAGGTAGCTAGTAGAAGCAAACGGTAGCTAGTAGCTTAAGTAGCTGTTACCGACAGGACGCAGGGTAGCTCACGCTTCCTTGAAGAAGCGCTTGCACTATTCATTTGGTTCCTGGAGCCATGTGCAAAGATGTTATATCAGCATTTCCACTTTGCAGCCCTGGCTGGGAGTGAGCTTGGACCAAGACATCACTACCACACACACACATGGGTAGTACAAAATCAGTGGGTCTTTATGGTTGCTTTATATTCCATGAGGAAACACAACCTTTTTTTTAAGGTTGGAGGCCATCGCTATTGGGTTGGAGACCATCGCTGTTAGGTTGGAGGCTATCGCTTAGGTCATTGTGAAACACAACTTTCTTTTTTTCCCTTCCTTTCTTGTCCTTGCGCTTTCTCCCAAGCCATGGCGCTGTGCAGAACTTGGGCGATGGGAGGCATAGCGCCACCAGCACAGGTCCAAATACCTGGCGGGGGAACCCATCGGTGAACTTCGTCCAGGCCTTGACCTCTCGCTTTCTGAACTCAACGTCAGCAAATATCCGGAACACCCCATCGGTACGTTGCATTGTCACGCCACCTTGAATCGGGATTCCACGAGCATTCCAGGGGCGGATTCCGATACTACCGAGCCACACATGCAAAACCAAAATCACCAAAGAACTCCCCTGCAAAATACTTTGAATCAACAAGCATATATTTAAAAAATAGCCATTGCTAGTATGTTGGAGGCCATCGTTAGTAGGTTGGAGGCCATTGCTATTAGGTTACATACGAAGCACCAAAGCACTTTGCCCATCTAGTGCCGCACCTGGCCTTGGGTCGATAAGCTCACCTCGCTTCCCTGTGGGCAGTCTGCTTGTCGGACGACATTGCGGACGTAGGCTGAGAAGTCCGATTTGTCTTCCTCGGCAAAGGCGGATGGTCCGGTGAGGGGAGATTCAGACCGATACATCTTTTCGAATGAAGCGCTTGAGGTAAGAAGAAAGAAAGAAAGGAAACGCAAGAAAAGACACGAAAAGGACAAAAGGAAAAGGACCATCCAAACCCATGATAAGGTGAGTCTGGTTTTTGCGAAGAAAGACACGAATCGTGTCTCCAATCGCTTTTTATTTTCAAATAATCCTTCTCGTTTCAACGCACGTGAGAAGGGCATGACATCGATGAAGTCCAAGGACCTAAGGCCTTCAGCATGCCACCGGGGGGGACCAACAACGAGGGGAACCAACAATGGCCAATGGCCGTCTTCCGACCAGGAGCTACTAATTAGTAGCGTCCTCTTGATCGTGGGTTACAAGGCGCGAAAGCCAATCAACGCGTGACAGTATCAAGGACGCTTGTAGGGGTCAAAAAGGTGTCCTCTACTATAGTCAGAGGTAAAGACCGGGTAAAGTTATGTTTCGTAGCGCTCTTATGAACAGAAGTGCTCTTGCTACGGGCAACCTTAGGAACCTCAAAGACCGAGCCGCAATCAGCCACACTCATTAAGAAATCACCACATGACTCACGGACCTACTGAGAACATGTACTAAGTACTAGTAACAAGAAGCTACTAGTAGCAAAGCGCATTGCTACTAGTAGCTCCTCTCTCCTAATACTCGCGGACCTCATGGTGTGAGTTGGTGCCGAGGATCTTCGCCTGCCAGCAAATCCTTCAAGTTGGCACCCGCCACACGTGTTCCAAGCATCCTCAGTAGTGGGCTGGTGGGTATTAAGGGGAATCGTCGCTTTGACACCCTACAGGCAAACACCGATTTAGTCAAATCTGAACAAGGTTATTGGCCGAAGCCTGACCAAACACAGCCAGGGAGCACTGCCAGACTCTATGAGGTCCCACTTTATTCTCAGAACACTAAAAAGGCTTTGGTCTGGAATAGCCGAAATTTATGATGACAAGAATGCCTCGTCATGATGTTTCTCCAAAGAGCTACCTTCCCATGGTCTCCAAGCATCTTCTCCAATTTCTGCATGTCTCCAGACATGGCAGGTGGCAGTTTGCACCGGCCGGCAGCGTCCAAAACACATGGGAGGATGATATCAAAGCTGCCACGGAGGATGGAGATCATACCTATGAGCCAGGCGAGCCAAGCGAGCAAGGCTTGAACACCCTCTGGATGCTAGTTCTTGGCAAACCATTTTCTTTTTGATGGTTATGGCGGTTTTGACAAGTAGCAAGCCCGAAACTTCTCCACCACATTATGGTCTGGCAGTCTTTGGAAAGAAGGACAATACTGGAGGCCACCACTAGTAGGTTGGACGCCATTGCTATTAGAAATAATGTTCTTTTTTTGTATCCGTTTGTTATTGTTTAAACTAAAGTTCCCACCAACGATGTCCTTTGATCAAACCAGCTGTTCAGCTGGTGGACAAAGTTGAACGATTGTACACAGGTCAGTCCCGGTGCCCGACGTCTTGGAACTAGGAAACGAGTAGTAACAAGTGCCACGCTAGTAGTAACAGGTGCCTTACTAGTAGTAACAAAAAAGCTATTAGAATTAAAATGCCAATTAAATTTAGATGATTAGCTTCTTGTTACTACTAGTAAGGCACTTGTTACCCCGACGTCTTGGAACTGACCTTAAGCTACTGACGTATGGACGCAGACTCAAGATTTTTCTCCTAGTAGCGTCCGATCGCTCCTAGTAGCGATGCCCTTCCAAGTGCTGCACTCCTCATATATCCTCACGCCTCAAGCAAACCTGTGACGGTTAGTTTAGATGAGTTTATACCCTCCGGGGGAGTTATATGACGGCTGAAGGCATTGGCTTGCCAATAAACTGCCGTCGAGTCATGCTGAAAGCCAAGCCATTCCAGGCGGGGAGGTTTGTTCAAGGCACTCTTGCTTGTAAGGGGAAGGCCAAACCCTAAAGCTAACAGCCAGAATGTAAGGCTCACGGTTTCTACACGCAAAAGTCACCAAGTTCACTATCATCATGGCTAGTAGGTTGGCCATCGCTATTAGGTGCATTTGTTTAAAGACATGTTAAGAACATCTCCACCAACCAATCCCCACCAAGCTACCCACGTTGGAGACGCTCACCTTCCGCAGCACATCAGTGAGGGTCTTGTGATACCTGGGGATATGCATCGACAGAAGGGCAACAAAAAGCGGTTGCTCAAAGTTCCAAGCAAAAATACTGTGTGTGTGTTATCCATGCACAAAAACACACAATACATTTCAGGACATCTAAAATACGCCCTTATCACAAGAAGCTACTAGGGGCTCCCGGCATCGCTACCAGGAGCAAGGACGCTACGAACGGGTCTCCTAGCCGTACTACTAGGCGCAAGAAGCTGCTCGGAGCAAAGGGCATCGCTATGAATTTCAGCTCTCCCACCCCTTGTCTCAGAGTGACTCATCGGCGCGGATAAAAACGAAGGCTGCGCAGTACGCGATCTTCGCACCGAAGGTCAGCACGAAAAAGCCCTTTCGCTCTGCATGAGCGTCCACCAAGCCGGTCACAGATGACATGTAGACCACGCCTCCGAACGCGATCTAAATGGACCTAAATTTCAACAAGATTACCTTGGTCAAGTCATTCAAATCTTGTTCCTTTTTAGATGCCAAAGAAAAAAGAAATGGAAAACGAGATTTAAAGGTTACGAACACAAAAAAAACAAGAAAAGAAGAACAACGCGTGCTTTGAGTGTTCATGTTCTTCTTCCCCACCGTAAAGGACGAAAGCCAAGATGAGGCCGTTGGAGAGCCAGGGGCGAATGCCACGGCTGGGAAGGTCCTGCGGCGCAGAGCCCTCGAAGTCTTTGACCCATTGCAACATGTCCACCGAGGCCCAGCCGTACATGGCCATGGAGATGAGGATCAACCTCAAAGAAGAAGCTTCTAGGAACAAGGACGCTACTAGGGGCTCCTGGCCTTACTACTAGGAGCAAGTAGCTACCAGTAACAAGAAGCTAATAGAAACAAGCTATTACAAACAAGCACGGGTGGAGAAAGAGATGAACAGGACAGTTGAGCGGTTGGGGTAGATGCATTTTTCTAGAATAGAACAGGACGACAAAAGACAAATGAAACAAGTAAAGGGCAACGATGGTTAACCCCTTTTGTAGCTCTATCAGTGTCCTAGTGGTTGATGTTGTAAAGGGTTCTGGGAGATTTGATGTCTGCGTTCATCATGGCATCGGAAGATTGAATAGATTGCAAAGGCAAACTCCTTTTTAAAGAAGTGAATCTTGCAACCAAATTAATAGTGCGAGCGCTATCCTGCGTCCTAGCTAGCAGCAGGTTACCTAATTAGTAGATAGTAGTGGCTAGCCCTTGCTCAATGAAGTAGGAGCCTTAATTAAGTGAGAGCGGGCTGAAATAGAACACTTAGGTGTAAAGCCATTCTACCAGCCCAGGCACATCCACTTGACGAGCCCGGAGTCAGAGACCTGTGCAGCCCAGCAAAAGATCACGTAGACGTTCGTCACGATCAACGGCCGTGAGACCTCCAGTAAGGGACGGCCCAGGCTGCAGTAGCCAGACAAGATCATCAGGATTGGCACGTTGATGCCCCACTCCAGGTACCTTGTAGGAATCGTTGGCAGTTTGCTTGGCTGAGCTCAAACACTTGTTCCAGAGCTGGTTGTGAATCTTCCATAAGCAACTCCTGGTCCTTTGCTTCTAAAGAGGACTTTGAACACTTGTGACAGCACCCCGACCGTGTGCCCTACCTCATCAATTACCACCCTAAAAGATCGCCACTCAAAGCCTGATGAAACGGCCATGGCTAGTAGGCTGGAGGCCGCTATTCGCTTGGAGGCCATTGCTATTAGGTTAGGCTAGCGTTCCTCTTGCTCCTAGTAGCGTGGTGGCCCGTCCTCCGGTGGCCAGGTGGCTGCATGGTGTAGACGGGACGGCCGGGCGCCGTGAGCCCATCGGCGCTGGGCCCCACGTGGGCGATGGTCCACTCCGGGCGGCTGAAGAAGCGCTCAGCCGTGGCCAGGACGCCGAACATCAAGGCCAACAGGAAACTGGGCCTAGGAGAGAGGAGGAAGAGAGGAGAGAGAGGAGAGGAGGACAGAGGAGAGAAGTATAAAGAAAAGATACTATGTTATGGTTGTTTTTGGAATCTATTTGTTCTCTTCTTTTCTTGAAGAGAAGAGGACAAGAGGAGGCACGACGCAGTTGTACCAAGAGTTTCTTCGTTTGAGCCGGTAGGAAGTAAGTAACACTGCTCAATGGTTAAGGTGCGGCAATCCGGGGAATTAGTTCGGGTCAATTCCAAATTTCTCAGAGTCACAAGAAGCTACTAGGAACAAGTGCATCGCTACTAGTAACAAGTGCCTTACTAGTAGTAACAAGAAGCTACTAGGGTACATGGTGATGGGACCCAAGAACATCTGCTGGTATATTCGCTTATGTTCCTCACAGCTTCTCTTGACCTTTTCTTTACCTTTTCTTTTCCTAGTCACAAGGACGCTATTGGTAGCTCCTGGCATTACTACTTGTAACAAGAAGCTCCTAGGAACAAAGGGCATCGCTACGAACGGAGCGATCAGACGCTAGGAGGCCGTTGCTATTAGCTTCCGTCCTAAGGAATAGGTCAACACACCGGCACCGCTGGCACTGCTGGCTGTCCAGGTGCAAGCAGTGGCTCTTCAGGTGTGGGATCAGTGCTTGTGTTTGCTTGGAGCCCATGTAAGTGGCCTCACTCGACAGCCATGTAAGTGGCAGCCCGGAGGAATCAGCCGTTTCCCTTTTTGATCCGTTTGCTACTTAAAAAAACATAAACAACTAGCAAAGCCTCTCGAACCTCCACCAAGACCAACGGTGGGGAATCAATTTGTTTGGTTGCTTTGACGCTGCAGAACATGTCACCACAATCTAGAGGGTTGTCAAACTGAAGAAAATCCATCAGCAAAGGCCACAGCAATGGAAGGTTCAAGTGCATCGCTAGTAGTAACAAGTGCATCGCTAGTAGTAACAGGTGCCTTACTAGTAGTAACAATGTTCGCTATTAGAAACAAGTGCTTTGGTGTCTTGCTCTGCATTGATAATACAGTTTGATGATTGTTTTCGGGCCCCGTGCAAGGACCCAACAGAACCTCTTCCTTGACATCTTCCGAAGGCAAAATGCACTTGTTCCTAGTAGCGAACCTTGTTACTACTAGCGTGGCACTTGTTCCTACTAGCGATGCACTTGTTTCTAATAGCGAACATTGTTACTACTTCAAACTGGGTAACCAAAAAGCCATCCTCACATGTATCATGTTCATGATACATGTTCAATTGCTGACGCATCGGATCACTTCATGACACCCAAACCCAACCTCAGGTGAAGTCAACTCTAATAGCAATGGCCTCCAATCTACTTGCGATGGCCTCCAACCTAATAACAACAAAACCAAGCCTCCTAAGCATCCTAGGCCTTTCTAATTCCCACGAACAGGCTGCCCATCGCCCGAGTTGGATCAAGTGACGATGAGACCACAAACCTCGTGTCCAGCCATGGCCACCAAGGCTGCTGTGGAGACGATGTGATAATATCCTCACCACGTTGTAGAGAGGATGGTTCCAACCAGGTTTGAATGATTGAGCTGCAAAGTTTGACCAACACTAACAACTATATGTAAAACATACGGGCATACTGTTTCCTACTGCAAACAAAAAGCAAACGTGCTATCAATCGATGAGAACCTAAAGTCAGGATTGGGTTCATTTTTCTTTCCGGGCACAATGTACAGGACCAATCTTTGGAGCGGATTCCCCTTACAAAAGCCGGTGTTTCACAGCATGCCCCTCAATTGAAACGCCCCTGAAGATCTGGAACATCTCCTCGCATGTCCGGCGTGTCCGGCGTGTCCTGGGTAGGTCTTCAAATGCTTGGTGCATGTGGAAGAGTCTTGACACGCCTGTGGGCTGAATACCGCCCAACAAATCGCCCACGTGGCCAAGGTGGCACCAATCCACACAGGGAGTTGTCCAATCCTGGCACAACTGAAGCGGTCACACAGGGCCGCACAAGTCCACAGGAAAAAAACAGAGTTCGTCCGGTAAGGTTCCTCATTGCTGCTAACAGTGACGCAAATAAGTCAAACAGTGACCGCCATCTCATGAAAAAGGCATGTTGAACATCAGAGTTGGATGTAAAGCAACAAACTACAATGAGTGTCAGGATTTTTGATCCCAGCGTCACTTTAAATCACGACGTCACTAAGGTGCAGGATTGTCTGCAAAGGAAGCAGTCATCTTTGCACAATGTGTCTTTGAGTTCGCATGAAGCAAAAAAACTCTTGACTTGCAAATCCAAGGATCAAGCTGGCCATGATGCAGGTATAAAAGCCGGTCTTGAAACAAATGGCTGGAACTGCCAAAAAGGCACTGCAATTGGCAAAAAGAAGAACAGGTCTAAAGAAAAATGGATGGGAACAAATGGACGGACCTGGTAAATGACAACCCGTCTGCCCACAATCTCTAACTTCTTACAGGCCAAGAATGCCAAAGTGCCTAATGCCAAAGTGCCTACCAGTGTCTCTCAATAAACTCTGTGGTGTCACGTCAGAAGCAAGCATGAGAAAAAGAAACAAACCGGAGTTCTGGCCAGTTGGTGACACGCTGACCCTCTCCGACCGCAAACTTGATTGATGGTTGCAAACACGTGTCGAGCTACGGGCTTTAGGACTTCGTGTTGCTCCCCCGTCGGTGATTAGAAGCATGTGGCGTGACATGCTGTCGAATTCCCTTGTTACTAGTAGTGTCTTAGTAGTAGCGATGGCCTCCAACCTAATAGCAATTGGCCACCAACCTAGTACCTTCTTGCTACTCGCAATGATTGCAGGATGTGTTGAAACATGGTGTGGTGGTTGCGTTGAGCGGACTGACCCCACGGGCTGATGAGCACCGTTGGACAGAATGATGGTGAAAACAGCCCAACTGGGTATCGATTGCGTTTTGAGCAAGACAAGCTTTTGAAGAAACATGGTTGCCAGGTGGCCTGGTTTCAACGAAAACTTGTCTACATGGGCACGGTTTAAACTCAAAATTGATTAAAGGCAACATCCCCCGATGGGGCTTCTGCTGCCCAGAAAGGGCTTCAGCACATTTGGGCTGCTAGACAGCCACGCTGGTTATATCACATCATGCTTTTGTTGGTCTGGACTGATTTGTTACTTCTGAGAAGGCCTTGCTTTAAAGAACATGTCCGGCTGCAAGATTCAGAATCTGAATTGAGCTTATCAAAACAAAGTCAGGTTGGAGGCCATCGCTAGTAGGAACAAGAAACTACTAGTAACAAAGGGCTTTGCTACTGGGAACAAGGACGCTACTAGGGGCTCCTGGCCTTACTACTAGTAGCAAGAATGCTACTAGTAGCAAAGGCCATCGCTAGTCTGGAATATCGCTGCTTAGTCTCCCCCCTTTGCCCATCCAATGGGCACAAGATCCGCAAACAAGCCCTCATGCGCCGAGCCCTCTTGGATGGACAGCGCAAATCTCCACTGAGAGCCTTGGAAACTTGAACAATGCCCTTTGTTCCTACTAGCTTCTTGCTCCTAGTAGTAAGGCCAGGAGCCCCTAGTAGCATCCTTGCTCCTAGCAGCCATGCCAGGAGCCCCTAGAAGGGTCCTTGCTCCTAGTCCTGAACAATGCGTTCTTTCGCTGTGAAAAATGAACACAAAGAAAGGTCCGAAGACAACAAATAGAAAATTAACTGCCTAACCTAAAGCTGATAAACAAGGCGGGCGTTCTTGTTTGTAGTTTTAAGAGATTGTCAAATGTTCTTTGATGATTAGGAGCAGGGGGCATTCGGTTGTAGCTACTGTTGCTCCAGCTTGGGATATCCATGTAGGGCATGGTGAGCCACTGGGAACGCGTGAGAGAGCGTCAGAGGGAGGACAACGTGTCTGGCACCGAGCGCTTTGGAAGAAGGGCGTTCGCACCCTGAGATTGCCGTCCTAGTAGCTTCTTGTTACTAGTAGCGTGGCACTTGTTACTACTAGTAAGGCACCTGTTACTAGAAGCGATGCACTTGTTCCTAGTAGCTTCTTGTTACTAGTAGTAGGGCCAGGAGCGCCTAGTAGCGTCCTTGCTCCTAGTTGTTGGTACCAAGGCCGAACGTGATTGAGGAGGTGCAGGTTTGCAGGTTGAGAAGTTCAGACCCACAAATAAACCGTGCATGACTGCTGCCGTGGAAGCTCCCCCTTGGCGTTTGAGAAATTGCTCGAGCTCGGGTCCCAACCGCTTCAGATTCGGTGGCAATCCTGGGGGTAAATCTCACTTGGATGGAGCTTTTCCGGAAGGTTGAGTTCACCAAACAGCAAAGAGTTTGTAAAGAGGTTGACATTGCACCGTTCACTCCGTTCACTCCCAGTGGCCCCGCTCACAGGCGCTGGCGGCGCTGGAGCAGAAGACCAGGTCGCGCTGGAGGCCGTGCCGTCCAAAGTGGTCGATGGCATAGGACCAGCGACCACCTCAGCTTAGAGCAAATCAAAATAAGCTACTAGGAACAAGTGCATCGCTACTAGTAACAAGTGCCTTACTAG